ATGATCTAAAGGAAATAAGTTGCATGTTGTCTTTTCTATTCAGCTATGCTCTAGGATGAGTAATTTTCTATGTTTTTTAACAAAAGTTTTCGTAAAACATTTATGATTTCAAAGTGTGTACGGTAATTTTAATCTTACGGAGCTATGCCTCATCACAATTTTTTTCTAAAACAATAGTTGTGTAAGCAAAAAAGTAAGAGAGATGGGGAATGGGCCTAATAGGATTTTGTGGTGCAAAGACAACTAAGATTTTGATATTTTGACTTCATGGCTTTGTATTATAGTCATATGCTTCTGTTCATTAGATTTGACACACAAACAAATTCATTTATAAGAAATATATCATATTTATCAAATAAAATTAGGAAGAAAAAAGTTTCCCTATGCAAGAGACAATGAGCTGAACGAATATGTGACTAAGTACTATTTGTCGTGATTAAGCTTACCTTTTCAAATAGACAAAATTTCTTTTTTTATTATTAAAATTTATACAAAAGACAGAAGAAAAAACAAGGGAGAAGGGAAAAGACTTAAATGCTTTCAATTTAGCAAGGAACTATTGAAGACTTTTTGATAAATGTATAGATTTTGTTTAGGTAAAAGGGTATTTAAAGGTCTACTTAAAAAAAAGTATTTCAAAAAGTATCTAGTCCTAGCCTTAAACGATAGATACTGAGCGGTGTGCGTATTAATCCGTACGTAGGGAATCCGTACGTAGGGAAGGTCAAAGCAACAGAAAACGTAAAAATTGATTCTATGTTTAACACGTGAGTTTGTTTCATCTTAGATAGTTAGATTTGTCGTTCTCATGAACTACATAAATCTAGGTTTATGAAATTCATATTAAACCTATGTTACACAAACTTAGCTCCATGACTCATTCCTTTTACCGTAACCGAGTCATATTACACAAATTTCAAACTTTTCCAACCTTAATTAAAAAGATAAAATAAAATAAAATTGTGTGCCAAACATTTCTTAATATTTAATTAATTCCATCGAATCGAATAACAAACCTGAATGAGTTGTGAAAATTTTGAAATATAGTCATAGATTTGTATTAAAGGGATTCAAATTGTGTATAGAATTTGTGTTAAATATTGTAAATAGGAACTTAAATGGTCACTCATCAAAAGTACAAGTACCAAAACTGATGTTTTGAAATTACAGAGGTTAAATAAACAAAAATGGAAAGATATAGATCAAAATGAATAATTTAAAAGTACAACAACCAAAATAAACTAAAAATTAAAAGTATATGGAGCAAATTTATTGAAAATTAATAAAATAATAAAAAGAAAAGAGAAGGGGAAAATTTTTATTGGTGATGGGGGATGTGCCTATTTACTCTCTCCTACAGTAAATATAGCACCTCAACATTTGATTTTGGTTGACTTAAAATGTGTGCTTCATTGAAGTTCTAAATGCCTATTACCTTACCTATATATATGTTTCATGCATGACATCACTACATTAATTAATTAAAATATTTTACAACTTCATTTCGGGTATTTTTACCTTTGAAAAATAGAAATTGACAGAGAAAAAAATTTAACTTAAATTTATGAAAGCTCAAACTACAAAGAGAAAAAGAAACTACGGTTCACAATGGTGGAAAGTTCATTTTAGATTCTTACCTAAGAGTAAATTTAATCTAAAATTCTGGCCATTCATGAAGGTGTGAGATTGACGAAGAGATTGAGGTTGGAGGCTATCAAACTGATAAATGGAGATTTCATTTGTCAAAATAAAAACCAAATTTTGGTCTGAGATATCTGATGGATGATCAATGATTTTCTTTTCATTTCCTTCTTGCATATTTGTAGGAAAGAGAACTTTCTCACACCTGAAGTCCATAAGGCAAGTTTAGTTGTTTTAGTGAAGTGGTTTATTTAATAATTAAAAAAAAAGTGAATATAATTTGACTTTTAACTTTTTTATTTATTTATTTAAAAACTTATTTCATATCTGTTTGATTGCATGATCCAACTATTAAAAAAATAGTCAATGAATAACGTTTTAATGAAAAAATACTTATAAAAAAAGTTATTTTTAAATAGCTACTCTCAAAATCATTTCAAACTCACATTTATTAATATTTTTATATAGGTATTTGGAAGGACCTATTCACCTATAACTGTACGTTTTTTTTTTTTTTTACTATGGGTGTTTTAAAAAACATAAATATTTTTTTAGTTTTAGCTTTGAAATTGATTTGTCGGATATACAATTCAGACTTTTCTTATTTGTTGTTTTCTCTTTTTCAATAATCATAAAAAGAATTTTGTATATAACTGTTTTTTATTTCTTATGTATTTTTTTAATTGAAAAAAAAAACCAAAACATGTTTGATAACCCTTTCTTGTTCTGACTTTTCTAAAATTTAAATTTTTTTATTTTTTATGTGAATTTTTTTAAATTAATCATTCAATTTTTCTTTATATCATATTTATGCATTTTATAAGTCAAAAATGATAAACTAATATTTTTATTTAAAAAACAAAAAAACAAGACAAGAAATTAAACTTGAAAGAGTAACGTTACTAAATAAACAGGACTGAACCGCTAGATTTTGGTTTCATATATTTGATGAATTATTTTCCAACATTTTTTTCCCTTGAAGATATAATTTCGTAAATACACCTAGGAAACCATTTCTTCAAAAAGTCAATTTTTCATCGAACTTGAAATAAAAATAAACATATATATACTTTCAAATGCTCATAAATAATTCAGAGCAATTATCGCTTAATAGGAAAAAAACAAAAACTATATTGGTAAGATGTAGAGAGATTGGATTCATATTAAATTCCAGCAAAAATCAAACCTAATTACCTCCAAAATCAGCTTAAAACAGTATCCTAAAATCCTCTCTTGAAAGGCAAAAATCATACTTTTAGAAATAGTCAACAATTACATACACAAAATAAGTTTTGAGAAAATAATTAATAATTAAAAATATACCTTTTTTTTTTTGGTTCACTAACACCACATATATATTCAACTTTATATAAATACAAAAGCCAAAAGTTGATATAATACCACATGCACACACATGAATATCCAAATCATTTATATATATTTTTCTTTTTAGTACACACAATTCATGGGTTATCCATCAACTTCAATTTTTGGGGTTGAATTTGTTCAATGTCCTTTCAATTTTCATGGTTGGAATTTTCAAATCAAAAACCTATAATTTAAAGTCTAAATATGTGAAAGATGTTTAAAATAAATAAATAATTAAATAATTAAAAGAATAATAATAAAAAAAAAATTCTTTTTTAGTACAAATACGTGGGTGTGAGAAATCGAACTCACGAGATATATACCAATTACAGCTTAATAGATATATTGCTCAAACTAAAAGGACAAACAGTGAGATAACGAAGATTTATATCTATTAATTAAGTGAGGAACGATTCTTTTAAGCCAAAAAAGATTATTATGGTTGTTATCCAACTTTTTAACAAAAATAAAATGATAAAATATAATTTTATAAGATTAAGATGAGGATTTATACTATCTAATAGACTATAAATTGAAGTTATTCATCTTATACATCTTTTCATTTCCAATGATAATGAGATATAATCATATATAATAAACATTATCATTATCAACACTTAACACATATTTGGCTCACTTTGATCCGTTGGAGATGCGAATATTTACATCAGGTTCTTTTGTTTTTGTTTGTTTGTTTTGTTTTTTTTACGGAGTTCAACTCGAGAAATGGAAAGTTAAATTACGCAAATGTAGATTTAAAATATACAATATATCATACTATTATGGGAAATAGGGAGGGATCTATTACTTTAACTTTATTATCACTCATACTAATGTCATACCCTAAAAAATAATACTTCACTTCTGACTGTGCTATATTAACCGCAACTAAAAATTTTACAATTATATATATATACCCGTTTCTCTCTTCCATTCCTCTCTCATATTTGTGGTCAATAGGGAATTAATGCTCACCCATTAGTAGGTAAGTATTATTTTCCCTCCCTATAACAAACCAGTTAAAAAGAAAATTTAGATTTGATGAGTTGGCAACTAGAAACCAGAAAAGTAAAATTAATAAACTCTTAAGAGAGGGAAAAAGAAAAAACCACAGCCTTGGAAGAAAATAATAATAGATAAATAATAAGAAAGATTTTTTTTAATTAATATTATTTTGTTCCCCATGCTTGTAGTTATGGTATACATATCGTCTTCAAATTTGGTTTATTTTAAATTATATAGTTTCAAAACGTCTATTTTGGTCACTTCATTCTCATATTTCTCTCATTTTTTTCAATAATAATTTTGCCATGAGACACCATTCACTAATTTTCTTAAAATTTAACCATAAATGTTTGTATTAAATGATTTCTATATTATATTTTGTATAGAATTTGTGTTAAAAATTTTGCAAATAGAAATCAAACTAGTCACTATTTAAAAGTACCAAAAAATAAAAAAGATCAATGTTTCGTAAGTACGAGAACTAAACTAAACAAAAGCAGTTGAAAAGTACAAGAAACCAAAATGAATGCTTTGAAAGTAAACGAACTAAATAAGAACTAAAATCGAAAGTATCAAGATCTACGGAGTTCCATCTTGTTAGATATCTTATATAATGAATTAAATTATTCCTTGGTATCAGAGTAGAAAGTCTTATGTTCAAACCAATTAATATTAATAGGGTATCAGAGCCCAAGAAATTCAAACAAACCCGACCATTGCCAATTGATTTCGAGTTTAAACCCATTAATATTAATAGAAAGTACAAGTACAAAAAAAGAAAAAAAAAAGGGAAAATATGGAAGTGGGGAGTGGGGAGTGGGGATGCAAAAAAAAGCAGATTGAATGCTAAACGCGGTTTGCCACAGCCTTAGCCTTGACTTTATCACTTCCCTCTTTAATGCCCTCTCTCCCCCTTTGACTCTTTTTTCTCTAACTTTCCCTTCTTCTTCTTCTTCCTCTCTCTCTCTCTCCTCTCTCTTAAGTCAGCGTCCTCTCTCTCTCCTCCCTCCATTTTTCTATTTATAGAGACCCAAACAAATCCCCACTTCCCCATTTTCACAAACAGAAGAAGAAAGGAAAGAAAAGAAGAAGAAAAATGGGGCGGCCTCCATGCTGTGACAAACAAGGTGTCAAGAAAGGACCATGGACTCCCGAGGAAGATATTGTTCTCGTCTCTTACATCCAAGAACATGGCCCTGGAAATTGGCGAGCTGTTCCTCCCAATACTGGTAATTCCCCATCAACTTTCTCGTAACTCATTAGCTTTATTTTTTCGATTAAGAATAGGCAAATTTTTAAGCTCATAAGTTAAACGGTCGATGAATGATTAAATTTGTTGTGACACGTCAGACTTCTTGTTCTTGTTTTAGGGTTATTGAGATGCAGCAAGAGTTGTAGGTTGAGATGGACCAATTACCTCAGGCCGGGGATCAAGAGGGGGAATTTCACTCACCATGAGGAGAAGATGATTATTCACCTCCAAGCCCTTCTCGGCAACAGGTACGGTGCGAGGGACTAAAATGTTAGAATATAAGGGACTAAATTGAAATTAGGTTATACTTTTGGGTTTTGGAGGTGAATTTATGAGGCATTGAATGTGATGAATGGCAGATGGGCGGCGATAGCTTCATACCTTCCACAGAGAACAGACAACGACATTAAAAACCATTGGAACACTCACCTCAAGAAGAAGCTCAACAGCAGCCTCCACCGCTCTCCGGCCGCCGCTCTCTCCGCCGCCGCCTCCGCCGCTGCCGACGGCGGTCTTTTCACATCCAGAGGCCAGTGGGAGAGACGCCTCCAAACCGACATCCACATGGCCAAACAAGCCCTCTCCGACGCCCTCTCGCCGGAATCCTCCAAGCCGCCGCCGCCGCCGCTGCCGCCGGCGGAGCCCAAATCGCCCCATGAAGCTCCGGCGTACGCGTCCAGCGCCGACAACATCGCACGGTGGCTGAAAGAATGGAACAAAACCACCCCGCCAAATTCGGGCCTGGCCAGCTCGCCGGCGAACACGAATTCCGGCAATTGCGGCGGCGGAAGAGCTAATGAGGTGGATTTGTCTGAATCGTTTCTGGGTTTTGATTCCTTTGAGTCGTCGAATTCCGATCAGTCGCCGGCGACGAGCGTTTTTCAAGGGGAAAGTGAGATGATGGATGAGAGTAGTGTGGAATTGCTGCCGATGGAAGTGCTGGAGAAATGGCTCAATGAAGATGGGAAAGATTATTGCTTTAGTGAAATTTATGTAGATGAAAAATTAAAGTATGATCTTTTATGAATTATATATGATGCCTCATATTTTTGGTTTCATTTTTGTTCCAATTTGTCTCTTCAAATTTGAAGAGATATATCTTATAGATTAGAGTTTCCAAGAATTGGTAATTAATTGAGTAGAATAAAAAATTAAGCTTTTTTTACTCCCTCTCTCTCGTATGATTTTACTAGGAAGGCACCTTTTAGGGATAATCTAAGTTTTTCTAAAATTTAAAAGTTTGTATTTTTCTCTTCATCGTTTCTTTATTTTGAAAAATGAAAAGAAAAGAAACACCTTACCAAAAGGTAATTTTGTCGATGAGAAAGGAGAACTCCTGTATTGGACCTAAAATATCATTCAAGTATGAACAAAGAAGATTAATTTACTAATCAAAATATCACTAATTTTTTTTTACAAATATGAAATAATAGTAAATATATAATATTACAATATTTTTTAATTTCTTCTTTAAATTTGGTTATTTTCTTCATATCAAATATAAATGAAATGAATACCTTTTTTTGTTCTTAATTAAAAAAATGATATGGATAGAAATTAGTTCTTATAAAAAGAAAAATAACTTCTACTTAATTATATAATAATTAAGGTGTCATTTCATTTACTCTCTATTTATATAGAAAATATATCAGTGCTACCAGTATATATTGAAAAATTTGAATAAGTTTTGATAATTTTGAGAGTTATGTCTAATAAATTTTTAACTTTAACGAGTTTCTAATTGGTTTAGGGACATATTGGACACTAGGACCTATATTAGACACACAATTAAACGTTTAGAGATACATTATAAGCTTTTGAGTTCTAGACTTATTATAAATTTTTTAAAATTCCAGAACCTATTAGATGTAATTAAGATTTTAAGAACTAAAATTATAATTTAGCCAATTCATTAATAAAATATATAAACTGATATATATCAGTGTGTTGAAAAATATTAACATAAACAAGTGTTTAAAACAAGAGTGTAGATATATCTTATTTCAAAATGGAAGATCCCAATTAAAATGGTTAACAAAAACTTTACAACTACCACGACTAAAATACTTTTAAACCTAAAAATAGGGCATTTGCATATTATAGAAAATTAAAATAGAAATCGTTGAAAAGTTTTAAAAAATAAAAATAAAAATACAATATGTAAAAGTCAAAAGACTCCTATAGAAATCTAAACCCATAATTAATTTAGTCGAACTATATATCAACCTATAATTCTCGAATAAAAAGTTTAAGGTTCAAGTGTAAAAGATAAAAAATTTATAGATTATTATCAAAATACATAAATATTATTAAATGATACTCCAAAGGGCTTTCCAATGAAGCTCAAAGCAACTCTCCACTGATTGGGTTTGGAGTGGCGTTTAAGTTTAACTACACAGGTCAACAAGGAAGAAAGTCAAGTGAAATATGTGCACTATTAGATGATACTGTTTTAATTTCCTTTTAAATCTTTTATTTTAATAATTAAAAAAAAGATTTAAATGGTCTTTTCAATTAGGTCGACATTAATGATTTGGATAAAAATTTGACGTGACAAACTAAGAGATAGTATGACAACTCATATAATGTGTAGATCATGTGACTTAGCATAAAAAATGTTTGCGACTTAGCATAAATAACGTTAAAGATAAAATCTAGATTTATACCCTATTTTCGTCCTTGAAACTTTCTAATTATTTTGTTTTAGTTTTACAACTTTAGGTGTCTAAATTTTAAAATATTTTCATTATGTGCAGATATCTCATCACGAAAATAAATAAAAACATGAACCTCTATATATATATATAATTAATGTAAATAACTAAAATTATTTATTATAATACAAAGATTAGAGGCTAAATTAAATACTATGAAAGTTCTAAAGACTAAAAACAGAACTTATACCTAAATATTACATTACCTATAATGTCAAGTATATTAGTCAACATATGAGTTGTCATGACACCTTCTAATTTGTTATGTCATATAAATAATTTCTAATTCCAAACCATTAATGAAAAGTTTATTTAATGGATAATTTAAAATGAGTTTAAAATTGTGAGAGACTTTTGAGAGATCAAATAAATTAATTTTTAAATTATAAAAACTGAAAATGTACTTTTCCAATAAAATTTTTCATATTTGTAACATATCAACATCAATGTGCACAGTTTTTGACTAATTTAAAAGACTTTGTACATAATATTTAGAGGTTTCCTTGTCAAGTTAGAATAATTATCTCACTTACACATCACTGATCAAAGTACTCTTTGAAAAGATTCAAACTTCGATTAATTGCAAAGGGTTTGTTTGAGTTGTTTTTTTTCTATGATAGTTTTGTTTTCATATTTAATATTGTTCCTAGAGAAAATATGATAAAAATTGGCTTATGAAATTAAAGATGTTATTATATATTAGAGCTCATGTTCACAAACTTATAATTTTGGAAGGAAAAAGAAAAAAGTACTACTTATCCAAACATTTTCCACTCAACTAAGAAAAAAATTATTTTTCAGACAATTCCCAAACAAATTCTAAATCTTTGTCATGCTTATTTGTACTTTTTAGAGTTAAAAGTGATTATAAGATAGCAAGTTCAAATTCTCAAAAAAAAAAAAAAAGTTATATGAACAATTTTGAGAGTTGTTTGAGTTGTTTCAAATTTGTTTAAATACTATTTTACTTTCAATTTTTGTTATTTTGGTTTCCATACTTTCAAAATATTTCTTTTGGTTTCTGTATTTTTAGTTTAGTTATTTTGGTCAATGTAATCTCAAAATTTCTATTTTGGTTCATGTGGTTCATTTTAGTCTCTCCATCTTCTAATGTTTATTTTAATCCATGTATTTCAAAAACTAGACTATTTTTATCACTATTTGAAAAAATTTAAGACAAATTGCATATACAATAGAAACTATTTAATATAATTTTATGGCTACACTTCAATCAATTTAGTGAATGAAGTTTCATGTTAATTAATTTGTTGTAAAAATGAGACAAAAATAAAAATGAATAACTAAAATTGTCACTTTTAGTACATATACTAAAATAAAAATACATATGGACTAAAATAGACATTATGAAATCACATGTACTAAAATAAATAAAAATAGTTAAAATTAAGTATTGTTTTGAAAATATAAAGACGAAAAGAAACCAAGGTAAAAAAATATTTACACCTAAATTTAACATTTTTATTCTCTAGAACAAAAAGTTTCTCGAAAGTTGTTTTCTCTTGAGCTTGTTTCGAAAGGTGTGACTTAGCTTCTTGAAAAATAATTGAAGTGGTTCTTCTTTCTAAAATCACTTTATCTATGAATAAATTGCATGCACAACAACACAATAACCTAAAACAAAATTTAAATATTGTATGAAAATAGCCTCTTAATTAAATTTGAGACTTGCTTAGATTTCAGTCAAATTATGAAGAGTTGAAAATAGATGAAAAAGTTTTTCTTTTTTTTTTTTTTTTTGGGGCATAACTAGTATTAAATTCTTGTCCCCCAATCTTGTATCAGCTTTTGGATTCCAAGCATGGATGGGCTGGAATCAAAGAAAAAGTTACCAAAAACATTTTGATAAGTCAAAAAGCTATTTAGCAAACTGCCACACTTTGAAATTAGCCTCTTTTGTTAGGATATAATTGATTCATTCAGTGCAATAACTTAGGCCTAGAAAAATGTGGCCTCTCATTATTATTCAAACTGAAGCAGCTCAGAACTACTGCTCAACAACATGAGCTTCCACTGTTTTCTGCTTCAGAAAATAAGAATGTTTATTTCATTTTTTGTGCAAGTTTTCGAAAAACTTTACGACACTATTGTCGGTTGAAAAAATAAGCGACCTAACATGTTGTTAATTGATTTCTAATTGAAACCTCATGAATATTGACATTTTATCATAATAAAAAATTCAAATGAGTCAAAAGAGTCACGATATTGAAGAGAAGGTTAAGATCTCACGTTGAAAATATATAGTATCAGAGCCTAAAAGTTCAATCGAGCATATATTAGTGAACTATTCATCTCATTACCAATTGATTTTGAGATATAACCCTATAAATATTGACATTGTGATCATAATTTGACATATCGTTATGTGATTATTATTTTAAGAACGTGCAGAGAAAATGTTATAAGTAACTTAACATTATGTAACCATCAAAACGCACTATCTCTTTACAAAAGGTTAGAGTGTAGAGAAATGTTTTGGAGCGACATAATGTACCATTCTTCAAGTCCTATTTGATAATCATTTTTATTTTTATTTCTTAAAATTAAGCTTAACAACACTATTCCAGGTATGTTTTGTTAAAACAGTTTTGAAATCTAAGTTAAAGTTTGAAAACTAAAAAAAAAAAAATAGGACTTGTAACATTATTTATAAGTCAAAAATGATAAAATAATGCTTTTATTTATGTTTTGTAAAAAATTGGGACACATGAACTAAAATCGAAAAATAAAAACAATTACCAAACATTAATGTTTTTAGAAAATTTGAAGAGGAGTTGGAAGTTACACATTTTTAAGTAAGGTGATAAATATGCCCAAAAATGGTAAAGAAGCAAACAATATAATTCTTAAGAATAGAATACAAAAAACAAAATCATTCTCTAATAACATCCTTAATTTTTTGGTTTTGATTGTCTTTCCTATAATATCTTTCAATCTTGTAGCCCTTTGTTCAAATTGACTCTTCTTTTTTTAACTTTTTATGATTAACTTCTCAAATTATATATGCAAGAAGTACAATAATTCAAGCCCCCTAACACTTGCATGGTTTTCCAAATATATCATTAAAAACCTAACTCCAATCATTTGGGATGTGTCACATTAAAAAAAACAAAAAACAAAATCTTTCTGACATCCTTAGCTGTAGAGACATATATATCTTATGCTATAATTTCTTCTTATTTAACAGCCAAAATAAATTATTGATGATTAATTATAAAGAGCATATGGGGTCCCAGAGATGACATTTTTTAAGGCATTATTAAGTGTGGCATGTGAACTAGTTATGGTTTTGAGTGGTGAAAACAAGAGATAAAATAAGATATTAT